TGAAAGTGTTGGTGTGTTTGAAAGATGTTTGAGAAATGGTTGTGAGCAAGCAACTATGAACGTTCTACCTACTCAAAAAGTCTTTGTTCATTTCCTCCTCCTTTAGATATTTCCATCTTATCATTGATTGATAAGAAGCCATATCATTGGATGTGAAAGGACAAGTGTGGATCGTCATATAGTCATAGAAGGCAACATTGTAGGATACCTTAACAATTTATTTATAAGGGTCTAAGATCGTTACCGAAGGCAACATCGAAGGGTCATCGAGGTGCTACGATATTTTATTTGAGGGTCATTTCTAAAGTATCCCACGCTCAAGGGACATGACTATTTTTTATCTGAGGCAACAAGTGTGGATTACCCTAGAGGTGCGCGTGTGCGAGTGTATTGATTTCATGCATTTGTATCTTGAATTAGGGTTATCTAATTGTTGATTTTAAGTCTTGCCATATAAACCCTAATTACTAGAAATTATATTGAAAGCGATAAATTGCGGAAATATAAAGTCCTACACTATTACAAAGCTTCAGAATGGGGGGTATAAATTTACAAATGGGGGATGAAAACAATTAAAACCTAATTAATATTACAACCATATTGAATAATGAATAAAAATAAAAATAAATATAAAGATAATGTAAAAAAAAATGGTTTAAAAAAACTTTTATGTATTGACACATGAGCTTATGCATTGATACAAAACCTTTATGTATTGACGCGTGCACTTATGCATTGATACGAAAACTTTATGTATTGACGCATGCACTTATGTATTGATACAAAAATATTTCTTGCTTCTGGAAAATGAAATTAACTTAGTATGAGTCGACGTATGCACTTATGTATCGACACATATCTCTTCTTGTTTCTGGAATATGAAAATTAACTCAGTATGAGTCGACACATCCGCATTTCATATCGACTCATACAGCAATTGTATCGATGCACAATGGTTCGGATTGGCTCATAACCTGTTTTGTACATAATATGTGTCGACTCATAGTGTTTCGTATCGACTCATACTGCTGTTTTTTACTTCTAAAATTGTTCTGCTGAATATATGGGTCAGTTCTCAACACAGGGTTAGTGAAAATTAAAAGTAAGCATATGGTTAGCTTCAAGGCAATGATATCTATATTTTATCTTCACAAATGAACCACTAATGATGTTTGTATGAAGAGTTTAAAGTTAAGAAAACTTACCTTGAAACTGAAATTTGTGTTTTGATTTTGAGTTGGAGAAGTCAAGTTGCAGGTGCCTGTTTTTGAGTTTGAAAAATAGTGATGTTACATAAATTATTCTTAAGTTTGGACAACTTTTATATGATGTATGTGAAGTGTTTGGATGGTTTGTTTCGATAGAACTTGCAAGGTGTGAGAGGTTCAAAGGGTTTGGACTTCAAAGCGCAAAGATGGAGGTTTTTGTGGACAATTATGGTTTTTAGAGTAAAAGGGGTTTTGAGGATTTTCAACACACAAGAAGCTCTCTATTCTTCTGGCCTCTTTGTTTTGCAAATGATCTCTCTATTTATAGGCAAGAGGTTTGGGAACAAGAGCTGATTAGGTTTGTAAGACAGCATGTTATGGTTTGGTTGAGATGCAAATATCAAACTATGTCAAGTATTCCATGGTCCCAAGATGAAGTAACAAAGTTACTGGTATGGAGGAGCTACCTTTCATGATTTATGATGGAGTATAGTCAGAAGCAAACAAGGTATGGGCTCAAGACAAATTTTGTATCAAAAGATTGTTTTTCAAGAATAGCAATGGTGTCTTTATGCCATAAATGAAAAGATCTTTTGGGCAATGGCTCAAACACTTGGGTAATAGCTCAAGAGTAGGTGTAAGCATAAAATTATGGTGAGATTGGCAAGTTAGAAGGCCTGCAACACAAGATTATGCAACATAGCATAAGGATTTTGTTATGTGTTCTTCAACAAAAGGACTTGCAATTCAAGGATGGATGCCCAACTTCATGCCCTTGAATCTCCTAGCTCAAGTATGATAAATTCATGCTCTTGGATATTTTGGAAAGCTTGAAACATTGTCGACAACTTTCATGTTGACCATTTTGGATAACTCAAATTGGAACTTGATGAAAATTGGCCAAGAAGTTGAGATAAAAATTGACCAAAACCTGTTGAAAATTTCTCTAAGTGTTGGATAACAATGTCATGACTTCATAGGCTCATATCTTAAAATCTAAGCATTTTTTGGACATCAACCCTCTAATACAAAGTTGAAGAATTCATCAAGATCTACAATTTTTATGTTGAAAGTTTTTTTTGAATCATCTTGCACCTTGGTGAAAGAATGTCATGAAGTTATGAAATTATCATGTATGAAAACCCTTAGAAAAATTTCTAAGTCTTGGAAAATTTGACTTTTCAAATTGACTTTTGACTTTCTTGATTTCTTGATGATCAAGCTTTATATTCTTGAATGCCTTGATGAATTTTGATCTTTGAGACTTAATGTTGACCCAAAAAAGTCAAAGTTTGACTTTCGGTGTATCCGTTGACTTTTCATCAGTACAACTGATTTTTGGTCATCTGGTCAATTGACTGAGCAGAATTTGTGATACAAGATTTGAAACTTGACATGAGCATTCTTGAAGGTCTATAATGATCCATGAAAGTAATTTGAAGTATTAGAAGTCCAATTGTCCTTGTGCAAGCTCAAACCCTAATTTTGAGGTATCGTGTTGAGGAGATGTCTTGATCTAGTCAATTTTTGTGCAAGCTTGAGCTATTGAAGATCTTGTGGGAAATGTCTTGAGAAATGAGAGGGTGAATTTTGAGGTACAACAATAGTCATATTTTGCATTGCAAAAAACTTGACAGTAAAGCTCTTAGCATACAAACTTTATTATTATTTATTGGATCACTTTATAGGATTCCACTTTGTAATGGAGGTTCTCTAATCATCGAACAAATGGAGGCATTAGTTTCTATTGATGTAAACAGAGGACATGGAATGCTTGGTCATGAAACCTCCAAGCATAAAGCTATTATAGATGTCAATCTTGCAGCTACAAGACAACTAATTTAGATATTGCACTTCTTATTATAATATGTGTCACTTAGGAGTCAATTTGAGATGGTAACTTGCTCTTTTAGGATCAAGATGGCAGAAATATCACTGTTTTGAAATTATTGATATTGTGACCAGTTGTTCCAATGATGAAGGTTAATTTTGAATGCTTTAATAACTTAATAATTTTGTTGTCTCCTAAAACACTTTATGGTTGTGTTATACTGAGGTTCAATGGCATGAAACTTTCCAATGCTTAACATGTATCTATTTTCCAAAACACTCCCTTTCAACAAATCCATGAGCTTTTTCTTTTTTGCAATTGGATTTCCTGGCAGTAGTTTGCTTAGTGTTGGACCGTGTTAATTTTACAATCCATTTTGAATTTACGAGTAATGTGATGATATGTTGTGGTGCAGGAATCTATAATGTCTAAACATCTTGCAAAGTCTGACATACCAAGGTATACTTGGTGTTCTCTAAATATAAAAACTGCCTAATATGTATAGTTGCAGTGAATTTATTTACTTTTTGAATTTTATAGGGAATCGGCACCGACTGAGATAGGAATTATGTTTATGTTTGCCTGTTTCAAGGTTTGGGTTGGCACTCATTTATGTCAATGGTAATGAGAGAAATGGCTCACTTGTATCAGCATTTATGTCAATGGTAATGAAAGGTGTATAATTTCATACTCTTGCAGATGTTGTCTCCGAGGCTAACATTTTCGTTACCATCACTGGTAACAAAGACATTATCATGGTTAGTGACATGAAGAAATTGAAGAACAATGTCAGCAACATTGCTACTGGTTTTTCTGTTGGCAGACAATTTATGTCATTGTAATGAAAATATTGTGTGATTAGTAACTTCTGTCAGTTACATGAGAAATTGATAGATAACTTCCATATCTTTCAAAATATATTATCATTGTTGTGAAAGAGAAATAGAAAATTACTATGGCAGAGATGTTGATTAAGAGTGCCACACAAATGAGAATTTTCATCTAAACTGCATTATACAATTTATTTGTAGGAGATATACAAACTGTTAAATTGTTTTCCTAGAAAGAAGAATTGCTATCATAAAAACTTGGTAACAATTCTTTAGATAAGTTGCAAGTGACTGTGTTTAAAGATTAGGCAACAAGAGAAAACTTGCTGATGTGGTATGAAATTTATTAACTGCAACATTTTACTATGATATTGTAAATAAGTATTAGAATTGAATGCGTATATTAATTATGATATATAAATTTATCTCACTGTTACAGTACATGATTTTCAATTAGAGTTGAGTTTTGTGTTAGTATTGCTGGAGGTTTGGGGGTGCATTTGTTCCTAGGCAAACACTTAATGAAATAAATTGATGATGCAAATCAACTTATCTGTTCATGGATATAAAACAAGATCTCAATGTCGATTCCGTTAATCAATCTGCACTGTAGTTTCACTAATTTCGCATTATAAATATTTTCGTGTCTACTTTTAAAAATATTATAACAAAGTTAGATAACAATGAAAAATAATTTAATAAATATAAAATTAATTTTGCACTAAAAACACATCTATTTTATTGATGTATACTTATGTACAAACTAACGATGTAAAATAGAATTTTTAAAAATTAAATTATTATTTTATTTAAATTATTTTTTATTATCGATAATATTATAATATTTAATTATTTTTTCTTTTTAAATGAATTTTGTTTATTTCAATAAAAGTGTCAAACCGATATCCGGATAACATACTAGTTATAAACCGATATCCGGATAACATACTAGTTATAAGATAAGAGTTGAATCCTTAATAATATTAATACATTTACATCAATAAAATCTAATACATTTCTTCTCTTAATTACAAAACTTGTACAACATGATTCATAAGAGGGGGATACTAGTTAATTTCCTCTAACAACAATAATTACAAGAGAAATAAATCTATTTCTATATGATTGAAATTAGGAAAATAAAAAAGATCTACAAAGTGGACACGAGAATTGACTTCGTTCTAGCCATTGCTCAATGCAATTAAAATGAAACACATGCTTACATCTCCTCAACTTGCTCACTGCATCTTCTCCTTCAAACTCTACCAAGCAAATGGAGCAAATCTCTTCTTCATCTCCATCTCCTTTCAAATCCTCGAACCACGCTACAGGTAGAGATGGAGCTGGAAACTCAATCTCTTTGCTTTCACAAGAGAAGAGAAACAAGAGAGTTTGGCCAAACATGTTTGCAAGTGATCTCTTGAGTTGCTTCAATGGAATGAAAACACATGTATACAACACAATTGTCACTATCCACCATCTAGATTGACAAATCACAAGACAATTCATCTTCAACTAGGTAATAATACTATATAATAACTTATATCCTAGAATTTCGATACCTGAATTAAAAGCCTCTTTTCACTCAAGATCCGTGTCTTTATGTTATGATGTTGAATTAGAACTGTGTCTATCTATATATACATGAACTGCTAGGACAGATGAGTTTTTATTTTATATTTGACACACCGGCCTTATAAATAAAATAATATACAATACATGTATCATAGATTTTTCATTTCTTAATTATGAAAATAAAACTTGTTGTATACATTAGTTCTGACTTTGGAGGTTATTAATGTAATGATAATAATATATTGAAGACTTTAAACATCATAGTATACTATAGTGAGGATTTTTAAGGTCGCAGGTATTTATGTATTTTATATTTTATGTTTGCAAGGCCTGCGCCGATCTCCACATTCTCTTGATTTGTTAAATATTTATGTAATGGATTCTATGTGCGCAACACCACCGGTATTTTGTTTTGGATTTACTTTGTTTCAAAGCATTACATGAATGTTGACTTTCATTCTTTTATAGATTTAATTACATTTATATTTATCTTTTTGAGAAATGATAGCAATTGTTATTTTCTTTTGAAATATTACATTTCTGATTTCTGATTTTTTGGTTCGGGTTCTGAAGCGGGCAGGTGTCAATCCATATTTAATGGAATTCTCCCTAATTAAATGATCCATCTAAAAAGGTATTGTTGGCCTAAGTCTGATACATGATCATATTTGGTTAATATATGATTGAGAGCGCATTTATGAGTGTTGAAAGGATATCACAATCAGGGATTTGAGATAATCAAGTCTAATTTTCGATCACCATCAAGAGATCATACCAATCAGGATCAATCACATTAAATGGCCTTTGAGGCAGGCCATAACCACTATAAGAAGAAGAAAGTAGGAGGAATATTCATTCACAATCAATTAGACTATTTCGACTTTGGCTTTACTGGTCCCCACTAGTAGAGTTATCATTTATATACTTTTACAAGTACATTTGATGTTCACCGTAGGACCCGATAAAACTGATATGGATAATATACCTCACTTCCAACGGCGGTCCGACCCCATCTCATGATGACAGTGGTCGCCATCAATAGAAACAACAACAACAATGTTGATCGAGCTACCATAGTAAAGATGTTGGTCATTATGGAAGAATTGCATCATAAAAAAGAAGCCTTGCCAGAGAGTGTCCATGATTTGCAAGAACAATAACACACCGAGTCGTACGTGGTCGAGGACGAGAAGCCTACATATCCTCAGCCACACGCATTAGAGATTTTGGATGCTCAGGTTCCCTAAAATTTTAAAACATCATCGTTAGTGTTGTTCTATGTCAAGAGAGATCCTCGGAACCAAGTGATCTCCATCAATACCCAAATGGATATCATTAGAGTAGATAACTCACTGAAGTGCAAGTTAATGGTTGCACCGCTCAAAGAGGCAGCCCTTAGATTGTACATGGGCCTTTAGCGGTTCTCAGAGTCGAGTTATCAAGATCTGACAAAAATATGGTTTACCACTTTTTAGCCACCAAACATTGGAAGATTTCCACTACAAACTGATTCAATATTCGAAAAAGGCCATTCAAAGACCTAGCACAAATATCTGGCTAGATTTAATGAAGAGACCATCAAGGTCACCAATCCAAACTAGGATATGTTCGTTGGGGATTTCTAGGATGGACTTAAAGATGGACACTTCAACGGATCCTTGGTCCTTAAGTTGGAAAATTTGATGGAGAAGATTATGGCAAGAGCAGAATGTTATATCAAAGGAGAAGAAAACATCACCTAGAAGAGAACCTGAGATGCAAAAGAGAGAGGCAACATAAATTATGAAGTATAAGGCTATCAGTTCAAAGTTTAATACCTGTTGTGAATCTTGTTGTTAATTACGACAAAATTCAATATCAATTTGTGAGGCAAAGAATAATAGCAATCAAAATAAATGGTCTACATCAATAATAATTCGTACACAAATAATATAATTGAATAAGGCGAGAAAAAGATGAAGGTTTGTTTACCCAGTTCGATCAAACGATCTACTCTGGGGGAGAGAGAAACTCTCCAATTCACTATACTCAAAAAGTTGTTACAAGAGATTACAAATGAGTTACAAGAAAATATCCTTCGCCTTCAGGTTCCCAAGAACAACCCTAAAGGTGCCCAAGAATTGCCCTATTTTCTACCCAAGTATTTCCCAACCTTCAATATAAGAATAACTCAAACCCAAGGTGTAAACAAATATTTCCCAATAACCTTAAATAACTCCAAAGGTTTCCAAAACCTTGCCTTTCTAAGATTTCCCTTGAGAATAGCCAAAACCCTATGTTATGCATTTAAACCCTTTGCTCTCCCTTGTTGGTGTAAGCTCTAAGATTGTCACACCTGCAAACATATAAGTGTTGGCTCCTAAGTTCGACACCCGCATTCTATTATCATATAGATCATTAATTATGAGTTAGAAGAGTTTCCTACACAAGAAGGCTTCGATCAGCTGATCACATCGAAGGCTTATCAAAGAATGACAAGATACTTAGAGAAATTTCTCTAAGTTGGAATCATGTTATTTCCAACGTCGAAGGAGCAACCTTTCGACCAAGGTCCCTGATGCCCAAGATCGAACGGTTTGAATTTCGAATTGTTGGAGGGAAAACGGTTCCCAGCAGTTACCAAGCGCAACGTGGCGTGGAAGTAGGCGTTGAGGGTTGTGAACGTGCCAGGTGGTGTCACCACGAAGCGATGTAACTGCCCAACAGTTACTTAGGATTTTTAGTATAAATATTAAGTGTTCACGTAGTTATTAAGGGTGTTCATCATTGTATACAAGTCACTCATTTAGATTCAAGTATCCAGCGTGAGAGAAAGAATCATTGAGAATGTATGTGTGAAACACCATTTACCTTAATCGAAATCTTTTACATTCAAGCAAATTATCGCTTTCACTTATTTATCTCAGTCGAAGTCATTTATTTAACAAGCCTTTAATGCTTTTATTTACTTTATCAAGCTTTTCTCCATGCAATTTACTTAAAGTGTCTCTACCTTACTTGCGTTAATAACCATTAGGATTAGTCGAAACTCTCTATTTTAAAGCATTTAAACGATAAAAATCAGCCATGTCTTAGGATCAATCTGATTGATCCTGCGAGTCACCAAATAAGTTACATTTTGGAAGATCAGCGGTTGTTTACCATTTTTCACGGTAAACAATAAGAGATACATATTTATAATAGCAAATACCCAACAAACAAAGCCCAAAAACACAACCCAATCACATTGAATCCATGGACTGAACCGAAAGAGCTCGAATCATGCAAAACGAGAAACTGTCGAAAAAGTGAAAAAACCTGAAATCAATATTCATTATTCCGACATTATTATTCATCTTATAGACAATATTATTCATCCATAGGGACAACATTATTTATTCGTACAAACATCATTATTCATCCGTACATACATTACTATTCATCGACCGATTTTTTCTCCATTTATATTTTTTTTACTTTTCGTTGACTTTCTAAAACTTCTGATTTTTGCAATAAATACAATCTCCAACGAAAGTTTTAGAAAGTTTTACAAAGTTTTTAAGGCGCATTTAAAACAGTACCAAATCAAGAAAAGGTCGCATTCAAGCCCACAAGAAAAATCTAGGAGCATTTCACCCCGCTTAACACTAGGAGAGAGTTGATCCTCCAAGACGTATAACACACCAAGGTCATTCTCAAAACTCTCTTTCCTAAGAGAGACATAATGGAGAACGAGTCTAAAAGATGGTGCAAGTATCATAGGATACTTGGCCATCACGCGGGTGATTGCCACCACCTAAAGTGGGAAATAAAGAAGTTAATCCAAGAAGGGTGTAACACCCCAATTTTTATTTATTAGTTATTTATTTTATTAATTATTATATAATATAATAATTAATTAATTGTGTGATTTTATGAGTATATGTGTTATATGTGTATTGAGTTAGTAAGTATGAGAATAACATTGTTAATTAATTGAGACTTAGTGTGATGAGTTAGTATAAGAATGGGACATTAAGTCCATTAGTGAAATGTAGGTTTAGTGGGTGTTTAATAAAACAAGGAAATATAGAATTTAGAGAGAAAAAGTGAAGAAACAAGAGAAGAGAAGAAAGAGGAAAAAAGTGTTGTAACACCCGATTTAATTAGGATTATTTTTATTTAAAATAATTAGATGAGATGATGTGTTTACTTATGATGATATATTTTATGATGTGATGTGATGCAATTTGAGAAAATTAGAGGTTGAGATGTTGAGGGGTGTATAACTAGAAGTGTAGAGAACATGGGGTGAATAGAGAATATTAGTAATATTTGTATTATTAATATTATTATTATATTATTTGTTATTATTATTATAAGTAAAGTAGTATTTATAATATTAATAACCAAATAATTAATTAGATGGAATGAGGGTATAATGGGAATATAGGTATTAGGGGTCTAAGCTGTGTTATTAGAAAATAAGAAGTGAGAACACGAGAAATAGATCGTAGAACGAGAAAAGGCAAGGATAAAGGAAGAACTAGGGCAAGAGGAATCCACAACCTTGATAAGATCAAAGCTTCGAATTAAGGTAATGGGGTGAATGAGGTTTCTCTAATTGGCGATTATGACATGAGAGGGTAGTGAGGGTTCCTTTCTCTCTTAGGTTATTTTTGTATGATTGATGCATGACCTTCCTTGTTTAACTTGATTGATGTTGTTATATGTGATTATATATGAACTTGAGATGTTATGTTGTAATTGTTGTTGGTGATTTTGGTTGCTATGATGATGGTACCGTGAAACCCCAATCTAGAACCTATAAGTAATGAAAATTAGGATTAGAGGATTTGATGATAAAATAAGACATGTAATGGATGTATAGTTAGTGGTACATTACAATGTATTGATAAATAATGAAAGAAGGTGTTTAGATAACTTTTTAGGGCTTGTAATATGGTAAAATCACA